GAGTAACAACAAATGATATTATTTCATTTCAATCTTTCAAGTATTTAAAATTATCAAAAAATGAACTCAACTTTCTTTTCAAATAAAGGTCAACAAAGATGATTTTGTCGTTTGTTTTCAGTGCAATATTTCTCATCTATTATCGAAGAAAGAAAATTCTTCGACCCTCCCTTTACTTAGAATCTTTTTTCGCTTAAATATTCAATCGTACTAAAATTTTTACTGAATATGTACCAGACCATGAACACCTTTCAGTGAAAATTTAAGCACATAATATTAAGGGGCACAAACTGGGGTTCCGCGTGACAAAGATTTTGTTCTGCACTTTCAATGATACGGACCATGCAGCAGTGTCAAAATGTAGAAAAAGCTTGCTGATACAACGTAACAAAGTCGGTTTTATGAAAAAAACTCTGACTCTGTTGGGTTGTAGTGCTGAGCTTTTCAGTATCTAAAATAGCGAAGCAATCATTATTGTATGGGGATGTAAAATATAAAACGCAAAAGAAGCTTTTAGTTTAATTACATCCTTTTTTTTTCTTTGCAAAGTAGTATGGAGAAAAACTCAAGTAGCTTCAGTAGCTGAAGTTTTCAAAAAAAAGAAATTTTTTTATGTAGATTTTTCCATAAAACCCATTGTAAAAGCTTCCAAAATCACCGTAGAATCAATGAACTATAGTCCATTCGAAAGTGTAGATAATGGGCTATCGAAATATAGATGAATCTCAAAATCAGTATTTTCAATGAAAATTGCTTTTTTTGTGAATAAGATGGAAAGTGCTCTTACGACAGTTGTTAGAAATGATATTAAAATATCAGGATTCTAAGAAAGTAAGAAAAAAAAATGTTTTCTTGTACTTTTCATTGCACAGTGAAGTTTATAGGTACCCTATTATGATCTTGAGAAATTATAAGGTTCATGTATCGCTCTCTCTCTCTTTCTCTCTCTCTTTTTTTATGTAGAAAAGATGTTAATGTTTTTGTTAGAAACACATTCATTTGTTTAACAGTTAACACTTATTCAACATGAGAAATATAATTGTATTCTTTATGTTTATTATTATTATTACTCAATCAATATCACAAGATACACGCACATTATTACTAACTAAATTCAATAATGTCCAATATCAATGTACTGATCCTGGTTGTTCATCTTCTACCACCATGTTAGTATCGAATTTGAGAGCCTGCGAAATTGCATGTTTACTTAATACCGACTGTCGTACACTCACTTTTGATCAATCTAATAATCAATGTGAACTCTTTACTGATATTCCAAGTCAATATGGTAGTCTAATATCACAAGCAGATTTTATAACTTTGACTGCTATCGATAATAAAAACTTATTAGCTTGTAAGTATCATCAACACTGTTAGTAGAAACAAATCAAATTCGACAGCTAATTAAATATTCAGTTTTTTTGAAAGACTCTTTTCCATTTTCTCTTGTTTTAGCGGTGACAACTGCTATAAATGGTACAACAGCATCCATGTAAGTTTGAATGATATTCTATTTGAGAGTATAGGTGTCGATATTTTTGTCATCTGACATCCAAATCCACCCATTTAGTCAATATAGCATAAAATATTTTTTATCTCTTACATGTCACTAGAGTATGAGAAAAAGGAAAGCAGCTAGTCTTAACTATTACTGATTACTGGAATTTTGTCTATATGAAAATGCTATAATAAATGATATAAATATAGGACAACAACATTGTCATTATTGACAAAAACTTCATCAACAACATCATCATCATCATCAACAACTTCATCGACAACAACAGCAGTAGCAATACGAGGTAAGCGATCGACTAAATGAAAAGCATTTTTATATCTTCTAGATAGAAATCATTATAGCTAACTGTGGAAGAGAAAAATTACTTTCATTTACTAGAAAATAAATCCTAGTTTTCATTTTGATTATGAAAATAGCAAGTGTTTAGGTGCGAATATGACTATAAGTATGCATGAGTCGTTCAGACTATCACTCTCGATATTAGCAGAATGCAATTGTTTTAGATTACTGTACGTAGGCAGGCATTATAATTGAGAACAGATGCACCTTATCATATTTAGAATCTAGGAAAATAGTATATCTCAAAATATCGATTTTTGATATATTCATTAAATAATGAAACTCCACTTTCTTTTCAATTGTTACTTTGGCACGCATGAAGTTTTGCTTATTAACATAGAAAATAAAATTTATCTTTTTCATCTAGTATGGTCTGCCACAGGTAGTATGAGCAATAAGAGAAACTATCACACCGCATCTGTATTAACAAATGGAAAAGTACTAGTTACTGGTGGATTCAATACTGCTGTTCTAAATAGTGCTGAATTGTATGATCCATCAACAGCTATCTGGACAAATACAACTGCGATGAGCACATTACGAAAATTTCACATAGCAACCATATTAACAAATGGAAATGTATTAATTAGTGGTGGGAATGATGGTACTAACTTTTTAGCTAGTGCTGAATTATACAACTCATCAACAGGTACTTGGACAACTACAGGAAATATGGAGATTGTACGAGGTGCTCATATAGCAGTCCTGTTAACAAATGGAAAAGTATTGGTTAGTGGTGGTGATAGTGGTAGTGGGTATTTAAACAATGCTGCATTATATGATCCATCAACAAGCACTTGGACCGCTGTTAGTTCGATGAATGGTAAACGTGTGTCTCATGTCGCATGTATATTAGTAAATGGTAACGTGTTAGTTGCTGGCGGATACAATGGTATTTATTTAGCTACTGCTGAAATATACAACTTCTCAACAAATACTTGGACAAATACAACTAGCATGAATTATGCTCGACAAATGTCTACAATATCTGTATTATCAAATGGAAAAATATTAGTTGCTGGTGGAGATCATGGTGTATCGTTAAATGTTGCTGAGTTATATGATCCATCGTCTAGCACTTGGACAGTTACAGGTAGTATGAATTATGCCCGAACTGGCCACGCAGCAATTATCTTAGCCAATGGAAAGGTATTAGTTACAGGTGGATACAATGGTAACAGTGCTGCTGAATTATATGATCCATTAACAGGAAATTGGACAATGATAGGAAATATGACTGCATCACGTAGTTATCATACAATATCCAAATTAACTAATGGAACAATATTAGTTGCTGGCGGTGTTCGTAACAGTACTATGTATTTAAAGAGTGCAGAATTATATTAAACATAATAAAAATGACAATATTTTCTTTTTCAGTTTGCATTACATATTGCTTTTTCAAATTAAACCTATTTATTTATAAATGCTTTAATAAAACTATCACTCATAATATGTTAAAGCTAATGAATAAAATAAATGAATTTACTGAGACAATAACATGTATTCAAATAAACGACACACTGATATTTTTTTCCTTTCTGTTCTTTGAGTTACCATGAAAGGGAAAGAAAGAAAAATATCAATATGCATATATACGAGTGTATTTTATTTTTCAATCAATAAAGTCTGACAAAGGTGGAATCGACGATCAAAACGTCACAGAAAATAAAAGGTAATATTCTACTAGAAGAGATTAACAAGAAATCGATAATTAATCATGGTCTTACTTTACAAAAGTCAGGCGTTGCTCATGTAAATATCGATTTACATTATTGATTGCGTATTTTGTATGGCCTAAAGTCTGCATATTTTCTCACTGAGATAATGGCGACAAAACATGAATACATCGGTATGTTGGATTTTTTCCTTTTGTGTCTGTAAAAAAGTAATTGAAGCGAAAGATATTATATTTATTTTTTTCTTTCTACGAAACAGCCGATTGTTTTGCCTTTTTTTATTAGACAAAAGTGTGGTCTTACACGAAGGGAATAAGCACGAATGAGTATTAGAATCAATAGAAGACGTATATCTTTCTCTCATTATTAGTACTTTTTCCTATTTTTCAATAGTTTGTAACTGACTCTGTGAAATAACTTTTTTTTTATAAAACAAAACGTCTGTAGAGAAAAATAGAAACATAAGTCACTAATCAAACTATTTCATATTTTTTGCATGTTTAATAAATCATCTATATATAAATCAATATTTTTATAGTGCATAGGCTTTTAGTCGAAAAATTCAAGCTATTTATTTTACGCACATCGAAAATAATAAGAATATAATACTCTTAACCATTTCTCTTAGTTTTAGAAAATTGAAACATGGATATAAATATCAAGATGGAATCATCTTCTAAGTTAGTTGTGTGTATTTCATCGACTGCACTCTTCGATTGTAATGAGTCACACACAATATGGAAACGTGATGGACTCGAAGCGTACAGAAAACATCAACGTGAACATGCTGATATTCCTCTCAAACCTGGTGTTGGATTTCCATTAGTTCGATCTCTATTGGAATTGAATAAAGTCGTTGATAAACCTGTAGTTGATATTGTTCTTGTTTCACGTAATGATACAGAGTTTGGAAAACGTATCACGGAATCTATCAATAATTACAATCTTGCTATTAAACAAATGTCATTCACATGTGGTACGGATGTCACTAATTATCTTCCAGCTTGGAAATGTGATCTCTTCTTATCTACAGAAGAAGAACAAGTAAGAAAAGTACTGAGTGGTATCACTTCAGATCCATTTGAGGGTATAGCAGCTGGTTTGATATACAATCTGACGCCTGAATTATTACCTGTTCAACCTGCCGTCTTGTAAGTTGATCAACTTCATTAAAACGACATTACATTTCTATTCTATTGTTCATTTCTTAT